GGCCTCCCAAAGTGCTGGGATTACAGGCTTGAGCCACCGCACCCGGCGTTGGTTTTTTTTGAGACGGAGTTTCGCTCTTGTTGTCCAGGCTGGAGTGCAGTGGCACCATCTCGGTTCACTGCAACCTCTGCCTCCTGGGTTCAAGTGATTCACCTGCTCCTGGCCCAAGAGAGGTTTTTAGAATTAGAGGTATGGTGTGGTGGCTTACGCCTGTAATCCCAGCACTTTGGGAAGCTGAGGTGGGCAGATCACCTGAAGTGAGGAGTTCAAGACCAGCCTGACCAACATGGAGAAACCTCGTCTCTACTAAAAATACAAAATTAGCTGGGTGTGGTGGCGCATGCCTGTAATCCCAGCTGCTTGGAAGGCTGAAGCAAGAGAATCATTTGAACCCAGGAGGCAGAGTTGTGGTAAGCCGAGATTGTGCCACTGCACTCTAATCTGGGCAACAAAAGCGAAACTCCGTCTCAAAAACAAAATTAGTTTAGAAACTCTGAACTTTTTTTCTTTTTTTTTTTTTTTTGAGACCGAGTCTTGTTCTTTCACCAGACTGGAGTGCAATGGCACGATCTTGGCTCACTGCAACCTCCGTCTCTCGGATTCAAGCAATTCCCCTGCCTCAGCCTCCTAAGTAGCTGGGGCTACAGGCGCATGCCACCACACCCAGCTAATTTTTTGTATTTTAGCAGAGACGGGGTTTTACCAAGGCCAGGATGGTCTCCATCTCCTGACCTCATGATCTGCCTGCCTTGGCTTCCCAAAGTGCTGGGATTACAGGCGTGAGCCACCACACCCGGCCTGAAACTCTCATTTGGTCTTTTTAGAGACCAAATGTGGGCCAGCTGTTATGGTAGGAGGGTTCCAGGGGGGTCAGGGGGCCCTAGAGTGTGACGTGACCCCCACCCTAGCAGCAGAGAAGATGTAGTGGTGTCTAAGCCACTAGAGGGCGGTGCAGGATGAAACTTTACCTCCCACCTTCCATCAGAGCAGAGAGCAGTCCTTTCCACCCCTCTGAACCCAGCTTTGGTCCTCCTCTCAGGCTGGGGGTTGGAAAGTGTTGCCTGATTAGAGCTGAGACACCTGGGAAAAGGTAACCTTCCCCCTTGGATTGGAACAGGAAGTGGCTTTAGCACAGTGAGTCTGTCCATATTAATCCTCCAGGGCTTCTCAAACTTGACGGTCTTTTCCTTCTCCAGTCCTCTGATCCTTTATCACTTCTGCGTCTCTCTCTCCCTGGCAGCTCCAGAAGGTGTTGCCAGGGGCCCAGATGCTCTGACACTTCTTGAATACACTGAGACCCGGAATCAGTTCCTCGATGAGCTCATGGAGGTATGTCATCCCTGGGAGATGCAGAGGGAGGCATGGCGCCAGCACAGGAGGCCTTACTCTGGATGCCTGACCTGGCCCTTCCTAGTTGTGTGAAGGACATGAGTGCTTTCTGTGTCCTGCAGCAGGAGCCTCACATATTAGATGCCCCCCATTCATCCAGTTACTTATCAGGTACCTCCTAGGCACCTGGCACAGTCTTAGGCACCAGAACTTGGGCAGTGAACAAGACAGTCCAAGTCCTTGACCTCATAGAGCTTATATTCTTTTTTTTTTTTTTTTTTTTTTGCTCAAATGCCTTGGGGGAGGAGCTTATATTCTAATGGGGAAGGCAGACTGGAAAGAAGATAAATAATAAAATTGCAGGATGCTAGATGGCACTAAGTGTCACAGAGAAAAAGAAAGCAGGGAAGATGATGGGGATGTCAGGAAGGCCTGTGGTTTTGTATATGGTGGTCAGGGAATGCCTTGTTGAGAAGGTAACCTATAATCAAGACTGTAGATGATGCAGAGAAAACCATGCAGATGTCTAGCAGAAGGGCTTCCCAGAGAGAGCAACTGCAGAGGTCCCAAGGTGGGAGCAGGCCTTGAACAGCTGACCAGCAACATAGAGGCCGGTGTGGCTGAGGAGAGGGAGCCGGTGGGGAGTAGAAGAGCTGAGAGACATAGCATCTGAACTTTGGTTTGCCTCTGAGGAAACTGGGAAGCTGTTGGAGGTTTCAAGCAGGTTAGGAACGTGATCTCATTTGTGTTTAAGCACGCCCCCTGTGGCTAAGGGGTTGAGCAGCCCAGCATAAGGAGCCAGCGTTCTTGGACCTTTGTTATGGGTCTGAGAGGATAGGGTCCTGTCTTTATTAATGTCTAAATCTGCCCCCTTCCCAGTAGCCTGCTGGTTCGGAGAGCCTCCTGAAAGTTCTGTCCTTACCCAGTTCTCTCCTCTTTCTGCCCAGAGGCTCCTCCTGGCCTCAAGGGGAGAGGAGGACAAAAGACATCTGTCAAGTTTTTATGGCAGAATAGGATTGATAAGATGATATGGCTGGCTCTTGTGTTATTTTCAGTCTTGCCTTAATCCAGTACTTCTCAAACATGTATTTCTGTTCCCTGAATCTCATTCCTCCCATGAAGACAAAATAAATACCCTGGGCAGAGAGAACTCTTTAAGCCTCTGTATTAGTTATCTAATCCAGGCTGGGGAGAAAGAGTTAGGCTGAGATAGCAGTGGGGGGCTGAAGAGTGACAGTAGTCTGCTCCGAGTGCTTACAGTGTTCAGAGGAAATAACCCCTCCTAACCCAGAGTTTAGCCCTCACATCTCATTTTTGCATTTCTAAGTCTGAGGGCTTAGATTCTGAGTTCTCTCAGTTTGAACCAGTTTATCTTCTATTTTTTCTTTCTTCCTTTTTTTTTTTCTGGTTAAAAAAAAGAGAGTTTCCCTATCACCCAGTCTGGAGTGCAGTGGGGCGATCATAGCTCACTATAACCCTGAACTCCTGGGCTCAAGTGACCGTCCCGCCTCAGCCTCTTGAGTAGCTGGGACTACAGGTGTGCACCACCATGCTTGGCTAATTTTTAAAATTTTTGTAGAGACAGGGTCTCACTGTTTCCCAGGCTGGTCTTAAACTCCTGGACTCAAGTGATCCTACCACCTCGGCCTCCCCAAATGCTGGAATTGCAAGTGTGAGTCATCATGTCCAGTCTGAACCAATATTTCTTCTGTCCTCAGCTTGAGATCTTCTTATGCCAGAGAGCAGTAGAGCTGAGTGAGGAGGCAGACGTCCTGTCTGTGAGCCAGTTCCAGCTGGCTCCAGCCATCCTGCAGGGCCAAACCAAAGAGAAGATGGTTGCTATGGTGTCAGTGCTGGAGGATCTGATTGGCCAGCTCATCAATCTTCGACTGCAACACCTGTTTATGATCCTGGACTCACCAAGGTCTGGCTTCCCCTTGACGCAAGGCTCTGCCATGTTGAGCAGCTCTGCCTCTTTGTATTCCTCCTCTTGTTCCATGACTCCTTAGTTCCCATCCCTGCCTCCTGGCCATTGCCATCCACTGGGGATAGGGGTTCTCTTTGGGGCAGGAGGGGTTGGTTTGATATATACAGGAAGAATCTGCTTGCTTCCTGAGTAGGACACGGGAATTGGGAGTGGGTATTCCTTACAAGGAAAGGGTTTAAGGATGTGCCAGTTGGGGGTTTGATTTCCCAAGCCTCTCACCTCCCCAGCAGCTGAATGGGAATGCTCAGGGTACACAGCTACCCCAGCACTCACCTGAGTGCCCTGCACAGGTATGTGGACCGAGTGACTGAATTCCTCCAGCAAAAGCTGAAGCAGTCCCAGCTACTGGCTTTGAAGAAAGAGCTGATGGTGCAGAAGCAGCAGGAGGCACTTGAGGAGCAGGCGGCCCTGGAGCCTAAGCTAGACCTGCTGCTGGAGAAGACCAAGGAGCTACAGAAGCTGGTGAGACAGGAAAGGGAAACCTGCTGCCGGGAGGACTGGAATACCCACCCCCAGTTCCCCTGTCCTACTCAGGAAGCAGGCAGATTCTTCCTGTATGTATCCCAGTCTGTGCAGAGCAAGGCCTGAGCTCCCCTGCTTCCACGCACTTGGTATTGCTCTTTCAGATTGAAGCTGACATCTCCAAGAGGTACGGTGGACGGCCTGTGAACCTAATGGGAACCTCTCTGTGAAACCTTCCGTGTTCTTGCCTGCCCATCTTCTCAGCCTTTGCGATGAAGATGATAGCCAAGGCTGATGTTTTGGGGCCCTTCAAGGCAAAAGACCAGGCTGACTGGAGGATAGAAAGCCACAGGAAGGAAGTGACACCCGATGGTGATCTTGGTACTCTCCATGCTCTCTATAAGAAGCTGTTGTGATTGGCCCTGTGACCTATCAGGTGAAAACCACAGCTTCTCCTTCTAGTTAGTGTAGTGGACTTAATAAAAGAGGAAAAAACTCTTGCTTTGGTACTGACAGTTTCTGATGCTGCTTCTTTGAGCCTGCAGTTGAGGTTCTGCACCTGTTTTCGTGGAGTTCTTGATCCGGGTGGACTACCCAAGCCACTAGCTCTCACTGTGGAGCCCCAAGTTGAGGACTTTCCCTCTGCTTCTGGTGATAAGGAGGACCCCGGATGTACAAATGGTTCAGCAAGGGGCTCGGGGATGGCTGCGCGTGGGCTCCTTTCCATAACCAGAGTCAGGCCAGAAGCCAGAGGGGAGCAGTCAGGCGGCAGCCTTGTTGGAGCCAGCAAAGCCGTATTTTCCTTTTAATCACAGCTTACCTCCAGGCAGAGGGAAAATGCGGTTTGGGGAGGAAGGGTCTGATAAACAACGTGGAGACAGGAGCTGTCACCTTCCGTGGCTGCCTGTCCACTTCCTGCCCATAACTGCCCGCTCTGATCGGATAGAGCCCACCCCAGGATAGCAGCCCTCTCCCAAGCCACCTGCCCATCCCCATTTCCCAGGAAGGGTAGGGGTTGAGGGTGGCCGGCAATTCGATTTTAATTTCATAGCAGAGCAGTTGATTCATGGCTCTTTGTCGCTGGCGTTGACTCCCGTAATGACTTTCCATCAAAATGAAAAGTGGAGTGACACCACTCATTATTCCTGCTGCTTGTTATCTCAGTTCTGGGGAGGGCCGCCCCCTCCCTGCTGCCTTTTAGCCGTCCTGGACAGTGAGTGATGGCCCCTATTAATCACCGACCCCGTGGACTCCGGCGGACACACGCTATCCAAAGGAGAGAGAGATAAGGCAGCATGAACTGCTCGAAGCCGTTCCTATCAATTAATGTCAACCCACCATTTCTCCCCAGTCTTTGCCTGGTCACCTCCTTTTGGGGGATCAGGAGCTGAAACAAGAAGTCCAGGAACTGGAAAAGGAAAAATATTGGTGTTGAACGTGGAGGTAAGACTCCGCAGACTAGCAGGGCATAGAGGAGCCGAGTGGATTGCACTCTGCCGTCGGCGCTGAGGAGGGAGGCTCTTGGCTTAGGGAACTGCCTGCTGCTCTTGGTCCCTCTCCCTCTGGAAGAATGCCTGCCAGCTCCTACCCCACCTGTTCAGCTACTGGCTCCGTTGGCCGTCTGGCCGGCCTCTTGCAGTAGCAGTCAGTTCACTGAGGCATGCTACCCTTGCCCATTCTAACATCCCTTGCCCAGTCACCAGCTGTTATTCAGACTCCGTCACTTACAGGAATGGAGCTTTAGGGAGAAGCCCTGTGGACCAGGTGACTGTGGCCCAGGCCTGATTCAGCCCTCCAAAGCTCCTGCCCTTGCCCTTGCAGATGAGCACCTGACCTGCTTTCCCTGCCCCACCTAAGGTCATTGAGGGGAAGTAGTACTCACTGAGGTTTGGCCATTTTCCCAGGAAGGGAAGTGGGTTAGAGTTTTCTCAGCCGATTTTGGCCCCTTTGGCAAGTAGTGTGTTTAGGCGACTGTTCGGCTTAGAGATACTAGGTTACTGCTTAACAGGTGACATCAGGGCCCACCCTGATGATCCCTAGGCTGAGGCAAGTGGTTTCATAAAAGCCTTAACCCGATAACATTGGGTTTGTTCTCCAGAACCTTCAGCTTCTCTTTCCTTTTCTCCCCGCCTGCCTCCTGAGTCCAACTGGACCTTGGCCAGGCTAAAGACACTGATGGGGCCACCTGGCTGCTGCTCCCTGAGTAAGGGCAGCTCTGTGTCTCAAGTCTGCTCTGACTTTCCTGAGCTTCACTGGTTGCATTTGGGTTCCTGCCTGTGTATCTCAGAATGGCCTCAGAAGTCGTAGGGACAGAATGAGTTAAGACGTGCAGAGCTCTTAGAATGCTGCCTGGTACGGAGGAGGCGCTTGCTGGACATGTGTGAGCTCTTATTTTTGTCTTGGGGGACCATGATGAGGACTCTCCATCCTGGCCTAACTTGCCTTCTTGGAAGGGAGAGGTGAGGGGCTTTAGGGGACCTTGAGACCAAGTTTCAAGCAGTCAGGTTTCCAGGGTTGCTAAAAAAAGTTCAGGGAAAGAGGGAGGCGGTGCACTGAGATTACACCCTCAGAATCCTTAGTTTGATGTGAATTATGCTGCCAAGAGCACACTACTGTGTTGACTTTTATCCCACCTCTTTCCAGAAAGGATTTAAGGCAACGCCTCTCACTACTTGGCTAAAACTCCTCACCAGGCTCTAGATAAGGAAGCAGTGAGTCGCCTTTCCAAAATTCTCTGCTGCCTAAATCTAGCCACGGCTCAGCCCCACTGCCTGTTTGCCCAAACACTGCCTCTTTTCCCTGCATCACCTCTACCATGTCCTCTCCGGTGTGGTTCTGTTTATAGACCCCAAAAGTAGGATCCCTTTGCTCTGCAGCCTTAGGATCTCTTGCTCTGACTGTGAACATGGGATAAGTGGAGTGCTAAGGCTCGTTTATCTGGGTCTCAGCAGTCCACCCCCTGTACCCCTCTCGGCCTGCCAGGATCATGGGGAGTCTGGCACATCTAGAACTCCTTTTCCATTGCCAGTTCAGAGCAGGGAACAAGCTGCATCATTCAGAGTGAACATCTCACCCAACTAAAGGATTAACCTGCTCTGTGAATCCGACTCATGGCACAAAAAAAAAGAAAAAAAAAAAGAATTAACTTGCTCTGGAGAGTTGAGGACAAAAGAAAGACACAGCCCCAGACTTGCTGGAGCCAATGTTGCTGGAGCTCCTCACATGAACCATCCAACCACCATTAATTCCCCAGATGTTGTATGCAGTTTCTCCCCAGAAACTCAGGTCCTGTGGCACTTCTCTGCCTTTTCATACACTCCTACCCATCCTGTTAATGATTTTTATTTCATCTTTTTTAAAAATCTTATCATTTTTTTTGAGACAGTTTCACTCATCACCCAGGCTGGAGTACAATGGGGCAATCTCGACTCACTGCAACCTCCGCCTTCCAGGTTCAAGTGATTCTCCTGCCTCAGCCTCCCAAGTAGCTGGGACTGCAGGTATAGTAGAGATGGGGTTTCACCATGTTGGCCCGGCTAGTCAAGAACTCCTGACCTCAGGTGATCCACCTGCCTCAGCCTCCCAGAGTGCTTGTATTAACAGCAATGAGCCACCATACCTGGCCTAAGCTTATTTTTTTAATAGAGACAGAGTATCACTATGTTGCCCAGGCTGATCTCAAACTCCTGGCCTCAAGCGATCCTCCTGCCTCAGCCTCCCAAAAGGCTGGGATTACAGGTGTGAGCCACCTCACCAGGCCTATTTACTGTAATTGCCATTTGTTTAATCTTTCCCAACTCCTGTACATGCACATACAAAATCTAATAAAAGTAATAGGAAGGGCTGGGTGCGGTGGCTCACCACTGTAATCCCAGCACTTTGGGAGGCCGAGGCGGCAGATCACAAGGACAAGAGATCGAGACCACCCTGGCCAACGTGGTGAAACCCCATCTCTACTAAAAATATAAAAAATTAGCCAGACGTGGTGACACATGCCTGTAATCCCAGCTACTCAGGAGGCTGAGGCAGGAGAATCACTTGAACCCGGGAGGTGGAGGTTGTAGTGAGCTGAGATTATGCCACTGCACTCCAGCCTAGTGACAGAGTGAGATTCTGTCTCCAAAAAAAAAAAGGCGAAAGGAAGCAATACAGTGTGGTGGTGATTAGCATTCTTGAGATCTAGACTGCCTAGGTCAAACCCTGTCTCTGTTCTTACTCCCTGTGTGATCTTGGGTGAGTTGCTGGACCTCTCTAATTCATTTTCTTCACCTGTAAAATGAGGATGAAAATCCGAAGATCCTGACCTTGGGTAGGGAGCTGTGGTGAGCACATACACCACTGAGAACAGTGCCTGGAGGCCAGGTGCGGTGGCTCACGCCTGTAATCCCAGCACTTTGGGAGGCCGAGGCAGGAAGATCACTTGAGCCCAGGAGTTTAAGACCAGCCTGGGCACAGTGCCTGCCTACCCTGAGGATCATTTCTGGGCCTCATCTCTCCTCTTTACCTGTTTGGTTGGGGGCAATTATGGAGAGGAGAGTAGAGAGCTGTTGTTCCATCCTTTTGGAGATATCATTGCTTCATAGATCCAGGTTTGCTAGCAAAGCTGGGGCCTCCTCCCCTGTCTGAATGCCACCCATCTGCTGGGCTTTGAGCGAGCAGTTCTGCCCCCTGAACAGTCAGGCCGGAGGAGCTGTGTCCAGGGTAGCTGTCCCGCCTGGCAGAGCCTGAGCCCAGCAGGAAGGCATCAAGGCTGCTGCGGGAGTATGGAGCCTGGGGGCGTCAGATGACCCAGATCTGCCTGTGTCCTCCGCATGCCCTTCCTCCCTGGTGACCGCCAGGGCCTCTCTGAGTAAATTGGCCCTGAGTAAACTCTTACTTAGCCAGCCCAACACCCTCCTCTCATTCCCCAGGCTTCAAAGAAAACCAGTTTGAATATTTAAACTTCTCCTGTGTATCTAATAAAAAGTTCTGCACTATTTAACGCCCCAGCTATCCATTACTGTCGGGAGCTGCCCTCTCCCTCCCAGCGTTCCCCTCCCTTCCTCTCGCCCAAACCATGCGCATGGCAAAGCCATTTGTCAAACCGCTCCCTCCACTGGCTGCGCTTGGCTGTGTCTGAAAGGACAAGCCGCCCCACAGGGGAAGGTGGGAATGAATAAAGGGGCTATGCAAATTGCTGCTTAATCTGCAGAGAAACACCCAGGCTTTGGGGAGACGCTCATTACTTCTTTTAACTGTGATTAACGGGCAAATTAAACCGAAGCCCTTAACTCTCTCCTAGCAGAGGACTTGAACGCAGAGCCCTGGGCCAGTGAGGTTGGAGGGAGATAGTTGCTAGTTTCGTCTGCAGCCAGCGACCAGGAACAAGGAGCATCCAGCATCCGTTCTGCCCCTTAACCCTGGTAGAAGTGAGGGGGGCCCCAAATGCCTGAGGGCAGACCCAGCACAACTAACCTTAAAGTGCAGGGAAGGAAGAACTTAGTTCTGTCTTTCAGGTTTCTTTCAGCCA